TTTTATTTAATTTGACGTTTGAGTAAAAGTGTTCATACTCTAGTACACTGCGACTCTGCTCCGACTGTAGCTGTTCGCTAACATGGCCCACATCCTCTGGCCTGACCGGGCATCACGCCAGGAGTCTGTGCCAACATGCTGTAGTAAATACTCACCTGCTGTCTTCCCCTGACATATAGAGCATCAGCATGAGGAGTGGGTTCATTTTCGGCATACGAAACATGTCAGGTCATGTGTTTCATCAGCAAAGCTTCAATGAAGTGTTGAGTCGATAAAGTGTAAGTGATTTCTGTCGTATTTAAACTTTAAAACGTTTCTTTGTCAGTCCAAACTCCACTGAGACCTGCTGCTGGTTGAGTCTCTGCAGTGAACTGGGATCAGAGTAACCAGTCACTCTCTCTTCATCCACTCCAGTCTATCACACTCCCCATGTCTCCATGTCTCCATGTTATGGTCAAAGCAGCAAAATAACACTGGGTGCTATTCTGCATTTCTGAGCACCTCAATACTCAGTGTAAAATATTGATTAAGTTACAAATCTTTTCCAAATAGTTATAACAATATAAATATGTTAAATGAAACTTGAACCATGTTGAAATTATGAATACCAACATTTGAGCTCACTATGAATGTACTGACGTTGTGAAACTCACATGTTCCTCTTCATGGTCTCCATGGAGAGGAAGTTTTTATAATTCCTATTCATGCAAGGGAACCATTACAATTTAGTTCAGGCTCCTCCATTTCTCTTGATCATCTCTGAGATGTTTCTACTCCTTGACTGGAGTCCACCTACGATAAACTCAGCTGATTGGACGTGACGTGGAAAGACACACACCTGTCTATATCAGGTCTCACAGCTGACATAGCAGGGCAAAAACCAATTCATGAGGAGGAAGGAGCTGCCTGCGGAGCTCGGAGAGACGATTCAGACCTGGTTCCTAAGAGAACAGTGGCCTCCATCATTCTGAAATGGGGGTAGTTTGGAAAAACCAGGACTCTTCTTAGAGCTGGACGCCAAACTGAGCAATCAGGGGAGAAGGGCCTTGGTAAGAGAACTGACCGAGAACCTGATGGTCTCTCTGGCTGAGCTCCAGAGATCCTGTGTGGAGATGGAGAAACTTCCAGAAGGAAAACCATCACCTCCAGCTCTCCACTGATCTGGACTTTATAGCAGAATGTCCAGATGAAGCTTCTCCTCAGTTTGTAAAGAAGCAGTTAAATGACTCTGAGACTATAATAGATAAGATTCTCCGGTCGGATGAAACCAAGATTGAACTGTTTGGTCTCAGTTCTAAGCGTCATGTCTGGAGGAAACCAGGAGCCGCTCATCACCTGTCCAGCACCATCCCAAAGGTGAAGCCTGGCGGAGGCAGCATCAGGCTGTGGGGGTGTTCTGCCGGGACAGGGAGACTGGTCAGGGTTGAGGCGAAGCTGAACGGAGCAAAGTACAGAGATCTTTAATGAAAACCTGGTCCAGAGCGCTCAGCACCTCAGACTGGGCTGAAGGTTCACACAGCCAAGGCAACGCAGGAGTCGCTCAGGGACAACAAGGACTGTGGATGTCCCTGAGTGGCCCAGCCAGAGTCCAGACTTGAACCCAGTCCGACTTCTATGGTCCTCATCCAACCTGACAGAACCTGAGAGGGTCTGCAGAGAAGAACGGCAGAAAATCCACAAATCCAGATGTGCAGTTTGTGACGTCAGAGCCAAGAAGACTGGACGCTGTAATCAAAAGTGTCTGAATCCTTATATATTAGGAAAATACAGCACATTCCTTATACTTCGTCATGTCAAGAGTAATGACGTATGTACTACAGGTGTCCCGACAATTATACTGTGTATGAGTGTATAAAAGCAGACTGAATTTCTAAAATTCTATTTTAACTTTGTCAGTTTGGAGTGTTTGAGTGAAGATTGATTAGGGAAAGAGAATTTAAATGATTTTCAATTGAAGCTGGAACATAACAAAAGTGAAGGGGTCTGAAGACTTTCTGAATACACTGCAAGTGTCGTGAAGGCTGCTGCACCTGTTGTACGATGATTCTTATGCAAGATTCACAATTTATTCAGAGTGATTACGACTGTCGATATCCTTCACATATCATCCGTTACTGATTATTCTAATGTGAAACATGAAGCAAAGAAGCAGCTGTGCACAACAAACCGTGACTGAGTGTTTCCACCTTGACAGTCTCATAAAAACAGATTCAGACAGCCAGTTTCATACGTCACAAACCAAAGGAACCAATTCTGTCAACTTGTGGGAACGGGGGGCGGGGCTAAATAAACCTGAAATCTTGTCAGTAAAGAGAGAGAAAGTTAGCATTAGCACAACCGCTAACACTGTGTCAGCCACTGCCAGTTACAAGCTAACAAACAACAAAATAAAGTATCTATCCATCTATCAATCTATCTATCAACATAAACAAATGAAAGATGCTAACTGTGCTAACTGTTCTGATCCGTCTGCTAGTCTCTGGTTCTGGTCTCAACAGACTCGTCATCTGAGTCTGGGTCTGACTGAGGCTCAAACATGTGGCTGAGTCTCTCTGATGTTTCCTCCAACACTAACCATCTCTGCTCTTTCACCCGTTACCAAAACCTTCAGTACAGAGAGCAAGAGTTTGTATTAGCACAGCCGCTAACACTGTGTCAGCCACTGCCAGTTACAGGCTAACAAACAACATAAACAAATAAAAGATGCTAACTAAGCTAACCGTTCTGATACGTCTTCTAGTCTCCGATTTTGGTGCAAAACAAACTCCCACAAAAAACTCCTGAGTTTGACTGAGGCCCAAATATGCGGGGTCGTCTTCACATTATACAGCACCTGATATTTATTGATCATTGATCATGTAGCCTACCACATGAACGCAGACTGAGCTGTCTCACCTTACACCAGGTAAGTTTCACTCTCCTTCATTCTTCATATGTCTGCAGGGCTTTCGGCTTTAGGCACTGGACAGGTGCCAGAGAGTAAAAGCATATAATATTTTGAATTTCTCCTGATCTACTTTAAAGTAGATCCAGTGTGCACCTTAAAAATCATACTGCAGTTAACACCTGACACTGAGAGGAGACTTCAGACACACAGCAGAGGGACTGTCACATGACCTGCCGTTGTTATTACTTCGCTAACCCTGCAATTCATTTGTAACCAGGTAACTTATGCCCAATGCAAACACTATGATACGACCCACACTGGGGTAAATCATAAATACTGTATGTTCAGGTGAGTTCCCGGCTCGAGTCGTGTTTAACCAAAGACAGCCTATAATGATAATCTGTTACGGCCTTGTCAAAGGAAAATAAAGACAATAAAGTTTTCTTGAGTCTTGAATCTGTCCTTCACTAGAATAGATCCGCTCATGAAACAGTTAAACCTATAGTCGATAAAACATCTTTCTGGTAATTATACTGCGAGGAGTGACTTCAGTTTTATCCCACATCAGCAAAACTCAGCAACATAATGTGTTTGATCTCCCCTCAGGCTACAGCAGCAAGTGAGTTGAACACAGAGGGTGGTGGGGGAGGGGAAGTAAAACCAGATGAGTGTGCTGTTAAAAAAGCGTCCCCAGTGCAGCTGTGGCAGCGGAGAAATGGTTCCACACGAGGGGAAAAAAATGAGCTGAAATATGGTGCTAACTGAGGGTGGACACCCCCCCCCGCCGTTATAGGTTCATCATCCTTTACCCTGTTGCCTTCAAGTTCCCATTAAGACCAGTGCAAACAGCAGATCACAATGGCAGCTGTGTCAATATGGTGACATTATTGGATTAAACATAACTTTATATGAACGGCGTGAGCACAACATAAACTAAAATAATAAAATCTCAAGACAAGACCCACTCTACAAATCGAGGCCACAAGATTAGCTGATAATACGGGACTGACTTTAGTTGACATGGTATTAAGTGGTGCTAATTACTTGAACAATCTTTAATCTTTAATCATATTACCAAAAAGGAAAATGACACACACAGAACCTGGGAGTTTTAAGGCCCCTTGGGTTCAGGTTTACCAAGGACCCCAGACACACCGCAACAGCACTTGTAATAACTTTGCAGCAAAGCGAACATCATCTGTAGCAGGGCTAGCACCACTAAAACCACTGCAACACTACCTCAACAGTGCAAATAGCAGCAGTAGTGATAATAGCAACAGCAGCAGCCGCGGTAATAATAGTACTAACAGGGGTTGGCAGAGTCGGGAGACATTTTGAAACAGAGCCCAGTAATAACAGTGGCACTAGTAAAAGCAGAAGTCAGGAGTAAATGTAGCAGCAGTGATAGGCTGTGGTATCATCAGCAGGAGAGAAACCTCGATATTTGAATGTTGCCGTGTGGTTATATAAAAAACCAGATACAGAAAGATACAGATGAAGAGCTTCATGTTGGAATATTGATATTGGCAACTGAAAACCAACACCAGCTGCAAACTGATCCACCTCCTCTCACTCTCACATCTCACTCATTTGCACTTTTTCTGGTCCACAGTTTGGGAATGTATACCTGCACATACACAGGTAGGCCTATAGTTGCGTGAATCCAATCTTTGTTTTGGGTAGACAAAAATCTGTCCCAACACATGTGCAACACAAAGCATGCTGCAGACAGAGAGGATGAATCTGGTGGAGGCTTTCAAACAGTCCTTTCAACAAGTTCCAGCTAATAACTACATGTTAATTCAAGTGCCTGCTCACCAGGCCTGCTGCAGTCAGTGTGATTCAGCTCTCCAACCCCTTCACTGCGTGTACCTGCTCCTGATATCAATCTATGATTCATATCACCGTGAACAAGCTGAACAACTGAAGCTGGGGGTTGTTGAAAACTGTCGAAATGAAAGCATTTGTCATTATACTGCTTTATTTCCTGCACACACTTATTATCAAATGAACAACAGTGTCTTGGATAATTAGTTAACTACATGGTGGCTTCATTTCCCTGCAGGGTGGACTCTCAGTGCAAGTGTATAACAGAGGCTGAGTGCAGTTTTACCTGAGACAGAGAGAGGGGAGAAAACATCATTTTGATGAGGAGGAGCTGAATCAGACCAGGCTTTGCGTTAACATAAACATCCCTGGGCTGAAGACCTTAATTTCCTTAGCGTCGTCATTTCTTTTTTCTTTTCTTTTCTTTTTTTTTTTTTTTTTGCAGATTCCTACGCGCCCTCGTTCAGCTGAGCAGCGGTGGCTCCGGGTTAAGAGAAAACTCCTGAGCTGCTTCTCTGAATTTCTTCAAGAAGCCCGAGAGGAGCGGGATCCGGTCGCCTCGGATGACTCCGCCGCGTTAACTCCAGAAATGATGACACGTCAGAAAAGTTGAGGCCCCGGAAAAAAGCCCCGCGGGGAGAAAAACACCGAGGAAGTTCGGAATAATCATTCTGAGGAGAATATGGCCGGAGGTGTAACGGAGCACGGGGGCTGTGTCATTTAGAGAGGGAAGGAGATGAGGGGGCGAAGAATAAAAGAAAAAAAAAACTGAAATGACGTTATGAATTCAGCCCATCCCAGACGACGGGCTTAAAGCCGCAGCAGCAACTGGCCTCAAAACACACTGTTCATACAGTTCATCTCAGGATCAGCTGCACAGCCACCGCCACACCACACCTACTGTATATACCCTGCTCCTAATAACACCCGGAGGGCTTCACACAAGGCCAGTAGGTCCTCAGATCAACACTTTAATCTCCAACTTTAACAACTATATTAACAACTTAAAGCAGCAGTTGCTACTAAAATAGCATATACACATTCACACGCATATAAAAATCTGATTTTATAGAATATATACAATATACAACATATTTGTTGTTGTCACAGTGCTGTTCAATCAGTGCTTAATTTTAAGTTATAATATTAATGAAGTGCTGTACTTTAGTACAAATTTGAGGTAGTGTACTTAACTTGAGTATTTACATTTCATGCTACTTTAGACTTCACCACAATCAAATATCAATACTTTTTTAACTTTAAAACTTTATTCTAATAGTAATATTTACAATTTAGGCTGAAGATTTTACATATAAAAATCATAGAATAAGATGCATTGTTTTAAATCAAATAACTCAACAGAATGTAAAATATTTCAAATGAGCTACACATTCACAAACCAAAACACACAACAAAATGCTACTTAAACGTTAATGCATCAGGAATAATAATCCAATAATATAACAGTGTATAGTGCATTTTACTGCTCTGAATCTTTTTACTTTTGATATATTAAGTACATTTACATGTCTAATATAGCCTATAGGCTCACGTTATATACTTTTACTTGAGTAACGTTTTCAGTACAGGAGTATTTTGACAGTGTGGTAGAGCTGCTTTTACTGAAGTAAAATATTTTAATCTGTCCTCCACCGCTGCTAAAAGTAGATATTTAGTTTTAACTTTAGGTCAGATTAAACAGATTCAACCAAAATGCACATAGCCTGTAGATATATTAAGATGAATAAATCAGATGAACAATAAAAACTAATAGGGTGACACGTGAAAAGGGGATGTTTTCAGACAACAGACCCTATTAACTGACCACTGGATATAATTCGACCACTGGCTTTTTATGGCAGGCTGTGTGGGTGTTTATACACTGGGAGTAAGAGGATAAATACTTTTACAGTTTTACAATGAAACCAGACAGAAAATATGTAATCTTAAAAAATGGGGGGAAAGTTTGGGCCATATGCTTATTGCTCAGTTCATCAAATCCTTACTGTCATTATTTAAGGGTATTTTTTTGCTTGACTTGTATGATCCTTCAAATGCCACACTGTCACGTTAACACATCGAGAGCAGCCTCACTTTATTTGAGCTTTGTGGGTATTGTAAATTGTAAATTCAGGAGGATTAAGTCTATATAGCAATTAATTAATCACAGTCTCAAGTTTAATCTGTGTCACGTATCGGGGCTGATGGTGATGGAGGGGCAATGATTGTCTGCTTTTTCCTCTATAGTGGCATCTGTGCTGTTGTCAAGTGGCTCACTTCCCAACATGAACTCAGATCTTCCACTGAGTGTTTCCAGCAGCACTGCGGGTACAGAAGGACTGCCTCTGCCTCCCCCAGCTGCAACTCTGTGTGTCTGCTAGCGGCCCACTGCCCCAGCTGTATGCCGGGACAGGAGGCCCTCTGTCGGCCTGTCATTCTAACTCAGCCCGCTGGCTTTAACTGCGGCCATTTTCTGCTGACTAACACACACACGCACGCACGCACACGCACACAAAACGGGAGAAGGAGGCTTTAAGCTGAACTTCAAGTTGGCCTGCCGCCGTCCCGCGTGACGAACGGAAGGGGGCAGAGGGGCCTGCTGCTTGCTACTGCACGCTCTCCCACAAAAACACCAAACTCAATAACTTTCACCCGCCACTTCACGCGCTCATACACTCACACCAATGCACGTTGTCCCGCTTACTCACGCGCCGCCAGCGGTCGGAAACCACATTTGCCGGTAGGATAAAGCCTGTGTAACGCCAACACGTCCCGTTCTCCTCCACGGATACGACGCCGCTCCAAACTCCATTCAAAACTGAAGGAGTCTTAAGTTTACTTGTTTTTTATGACAAACACACGCATCGTCTCGCGTGTGAATTCAAACCCTCTCCTGTTTGATGATGTTTTAGAAAATTCGGCACTCATATTGTTTTCAAAAACACCTTCATGTCAACGAAATATTGAGTTTAATAACCGTTTCCCGCTGCCGGCTTCCGCCCTGTAACAGCGCGTTTGACGTAAGACACCAACTGACAGAGCGGTCGAGCCGACTCTAAAAGTTAACATTTCCTTAAAGTACGGCGTGTTTTACGTGTCGTGTCTGCGCCGAATTTAAGTTTAGATCCCGAACATTCAAGATTGTTCTCCAGCCGTGTTGTTCCGGGCGTTTTTATTTTCTGGCGTGCAAGGTGAATCTTTATTTGCCAGATTTTTGAATGAAATTTAGCGACAGATTCTCTCCGCGGGGGAAACGTCACGTACCGGACTATAATGTTCGGACGCTTCCACAAACTAAAAGACGGAAAGAGGGAAAAAATAACGGAAACGGGCTCTGCTAAGATTTGGAGGAAGGTGATGTTAACTGCCGCCGCTTTCTGCTCCACTTTCAGCTGCGTAGCTGATGTTACTCATTCAACTCCTCGCACTGCGTCTTTTTTTGGAAAACACGAAACAGCACACCAATAGGAAGGTACAGTCTACTACATTATTGTACCGGAACAGGTTTTGTCCTACCATTTCGAAGCTGAGCCGCCGCCGTTAAAGCTGATCTCAACGCCTGCCCATCTTGCGCTGTCGGTCGTTATCATTCCGTAGGCTATTCATTTCTGTCACCGTGCGCGTGCCAGCTGGAGTAAATCCGCGGTGCTCGAGACCAGGAACGTCCCGCGTCAAGCTTCGGGCTCCACGGCAGTATCACCCCCCACCCCCCACCACCAACACCCCCCCCGGGAGGCTGCGGCAGAAAAGACTAGTGCTACATTCACCTCCACCTCTTCTCAGCTGACTGTTCTCCTACTTCACTATTCTACACGTCTTCCTGTTACTTCTCTCCTCCTCACTCTCTCCACTCTTCCCTCTCACTTTCGTCCATTTCTTTCTCTCTTACTTTACTATAAGTTTTGATGCATTTCTCTACAGGGTGATACATTTATTTAACCCTTCCCAGTCTACCTGCACGTCCCACAGCGTGTTGAACAGGAGCCTTGATTTAAAGGTGTCACATTGTGATGCTGTCCGGCTGGGATCAGCTCTGACCCTGACCTGAATTCACTTCCTGCCAAATATTTGGGCCTTCACTGCTGTTCTTCTCTTGGAAATAAGTTTATTAAAGCATCACTTGCTCTGATTAGTCACTGATAGCCTACATAAACTCAGAAGGGAAAATGGAGTTCTTGATTCCTTTCAGGACCACCACCTTCCTTCGCCCTGCAATATATATATTTTTTTTGCATTTCTCTAATTGCAATGCTATGATCAAAGTTGGTCACCTTTTTGGTTAAAAAGTATTATGTATTAGGAAAATACAGCACAATCCTCATACTATCTTTGAGGGTCATTAAACTCTATTTATATCACGGACACAGAGCTTGTGGCGCCTACGCTGCTGTGTGTGCATTCTCATTTTCTTGTTCATGTCTACTTTTAACTTGGCTCAGTGCCATACAAGGTGGCCATGTCAAAAGTAATGACGTATGTACTACAGGTGTCCCAACAATTATACTGTGTATGAGTGTATAAAAGCAGACTGTAGTAAACATGCATTGCGCTCTCTGGTCAGTAACACTCTTGTTGTTGGCTGAGGCGTCCACTTGCAAGTGTCAGAATAAACTGGAAAGACCACTCTCTGGTTGTCAGTCCTCTGTTTCCTGAAAATCCCACGACATATTATTATGTAACATTAAAAATGTCTATAGGGGTTTTGTTATGTTCTTCTTTTAGCTCTGAAGAGGTCCTGCCCCTGAGAAATAAAAAATATTAAACATATATCATCAGCATCATTTCAACCATCCCAGTTCAGATACTGTATGTTTATAATTTGTGTGTGTAAACTTATCTGTTGTATCAGTCACAATCTTATCTCAAGTCAAGGCCCACTTGAAAGCTTTTTTGGGACTTTCACCCACATCTCATGGGAAGCAAATAGAACCAGCTCAGGTGTCACCATCCCATTTTCTGATGAAGACACTGAGATGAGGTTGAAAGCTCACAAAGCTAGTAACTGGTCCTTGAGTTAAGATTATTTTTGCCACATGCTGTTTGTCAAACTATTATAATAGACTAGTGGTTCCCAAACTGTGGGTCAGCGTGCCACGAAGATATTGCAAGTGGGCCGACAAATCATGTGCAAAACGGTACAATTTTTATGTGAAAAAATGTAATTATAACTACACTAGGTCAAAACCTAGTATATGTCGGGGCATATACTGGCCAGAGTCCTCCACAAGGACTCAGCACTTATAGTGAAAACCATTCAGCACCTTCAGATCTGTGCTGCTACAACATGAAGACAGGAGCATCTGTGTGGAGCTGATGTCGTGTGACACTTTTGTGATGTCACATGGGACAGCTGTTGACTACAAAGGTGAAACGGCAAGTTACTGAACGAAGACCACAAACAGAC